TGTGTAGCTGCTGTAGCATGGGGTCCAAAAGAGCCGCTTGTGATACAAGATATATGCGTCGATCCTCCTCAGAAAATGGAAGTTCGTGTAAAAATTCTTTACTCTTCGATTTGTCACACTGATCTCGGAGCTTGGAATGGCGTGGTAGAAAACCAATTGTTATGATTCCACATTGACTTATCTCGTCTTCACTAGCATTTTAATCTAATCAAATATCATTTTTGTATATAAAGAACGAAGCTGAAAGAGCATTTCCAAGGATACTTGGTCACGAAGCCGTCGGGTATATGTCCTTTCTTATCATAATATTTTTCTGTAAAACCTATTCTTGTGTTAATAATGAACACTTCTGACACATTCTATGTGTTTGTGGGATATAATAGGATGGTGGAAAGTGTTGGAGAAGGAGTTAAAGATGTGAAAGAAGGAGACTATGTGATTCCGATTTTTAATGGAGAATGTTGTGAATGTAGAGTGTGTAAGAAAGAAGAGAGTAATCTCTGTGAGAGATATCATGTGGATCCTATGAAGAGAGTGATGGTGAGTGATGGAGGGACGAGATTTTCAACCACCACAACAAAGGAGGGTGGTTTGAGCAAGAGCCAACCCATTTATCACTTTCTTAATACCTCGACGTTCACCGAGTACACCGTCTTGGACTCGGCTTGTGTTGTCAAGATCGATCCTAATGCTCCTCTCAAGCATATGAGTCTTTTGAGTTGTGGAGTTTCCACTGGTTAGTTATTTAATTACTTATAATCTAGCAATTAAATTTATTAATTTGAAGCCCTTACATTTTGAATAATTGTGAATAATTTGTTTGTTTTTAAATCAAATAACGTGAGTTTTTGGGAGTAGCTAGAGAACACTATGGAAGGGATAAGTAATCCAATTTTGTTTTCAAACAATTTAATTATTTTTTTGAAACAAAATTATTTATTATCATGCTACACTAAACACTTCATATATAGAAGAAGTTCATACGTTTTATATGGTGGAATATGGTTTTTAATTAATACGAAATAAAAATCACATTAGCAAATTATTTTCTAACAAAATTTTAAAATAGGGGTGGGAGCAGTTTGGAACATAGCAAAGGTTAAAGAAGGAACAACTACTGCTGTATTTGGATTGGGTTCTGTTGGACTCGCTGTAAGATTAATTTTAATTTGTTAAGTTAAATTGATTTTTTGTATATGAATGAAAAATGATACAATATTTTATGAATAAAAATGAAGGTAGCTGAAGGTGCTAGGGCACGAGGAGCTTCTAGAATCATCGGTGTCGATGCTAATCCTTCCAAATTTGAGACAGGTGCTTTATCTTTAAATCAAGTATATATATATGTTCTTAAAATAAATAAAATGGTAATATATTATTTAGTTAACAGTTAACATATAATTCAATCCCAACATTATTGTAGGGAAACTAATGGGAGTAACAGATTTTATAAATCCTAAAGATTTAACTAAGTCAACACATAAGGTATTATTTCAACTTTTTTACAAAAAGTAGTAACTTTAAATGAAATAAGTGTTGATTGATTCTAATAATTGTGATGTATCAATATACATAAAGATTATTCAAGACATAACGAGAGGAGGCGTTGATTATAGCTTCGAATGCACCGGAAACGTTGATGTTCTTCGTGAAGCCTTTTTATCAACTCATACCGTAAGTTTTCAATAATATTATTTAAGATGAATGAGTTTATTAAGTTACTTGACCAATAAGATAATTTAGTTAGTTGAGCAACAAATAAGTGTGCAAATGAATTTGGTAATCAGGGATGGGGATCAACCGTGCTAGTAGGAATATATCCGACGCCAAGAACATTGCCTCTCCATCCAATGGAGTTTTTTGACGGACGTACAATCACTGGTTCTGTTTTTGGAGGCTTTAAGCCAAAATCTCAGCTTCCAAATTTTGTCCAACAATGCATGAAAGGGGTATTACTTATCATCCTACGATTTTCTTGAATTAGTATTAATTTGAGTATTTAGTAAAACTAATTGAAAACTTTAATTTACAGGTTGTAAAATTGGAACCTTTTATTACCAATGAGCTTCCATTTGAGAAGATAAACGATGCGTTTCAGCTGCTTCGCGATGGAAAGTCTCTTCGATGTCTTCTTCAGATCTCCAAATTTCTCAAGAAATGATTCTACACATTCACAAAGATTATTACAGTATCATTTATTTAACATAATAGTATGTACTATAATACGAGGAATGTTATCCATAATATATTTATCATCAATAATGCGATGTTTAATCATTATTCATGTTCAAAAATCATATCATTTTAATTAATCCAAATTATTTGATAATGTCATATAATTTTTATTTTTCAGTCGTATAATTTTACAACATTGAAAAGAAACTTAGTTATAACTAAACCACACAGCCCTAATACTATTCAATTCACATGGCCTAGCTAAATTTTTATTGATCGTAACTCATAAGCCATACATTGCAACTACTCAGGTAGATTTATATTTTTATTCAAATATAAGCTTACAATATTTTAGAAAAAATTATAATATAAACTTACAATATTAACCTATATGATTAATAAATTATAGGCATTTATATTATTCATATAAATAAATAGAATTTTGTAGATCGAATAAAATAAAATTAATCGCCATTTTATAAATTTGTTGAAATTTTTTGACATGCAAATTTACTCAACTTCACCAAAAATTTCAATTTCATTTTAATAAGTTTACAATCCCAAATCCAAACAGAAAATTAGAAAGGTAAAACCAACAAACGAATGCACCCGATAAAGGCAGCAGTGGTGGAGGCAGAATTTTTTTTCATTGGAGTCATAAATATTACGAAAAATATACAATTCGATAAATAATGTGTGAAAACTCAAACGGCGTAACCGATCGATGTTGCTGATGCTTTTTTCAAGGTTTTTGATAATCAATCAATGAGCCGTATAGTGATATAATTACTATTTGGGTTTGGATTTAAGGGCTCATGTTTTTTTTTTTGGTTGAATGGGGCCACATATAATTTATTTTGGATTAAAAATCTACTTTTATGAATTTTTCAATTGGTAAAATAAAGAGATGGGGCAAAAAATTTGTAACAAGTGGGAGCATTAATATTGGACTTTGATAAGTTACACTAATATAAAAAATTTCGTTGGATTCATCGGCCCTCAACTTAAATCATGTGTCTCCGCCACTGAAAGGCAGCATAACTGAAGATACGTAACTAACAAACCATCCATGAATGTAGCTTAGCTAAGCAAAAATCGAAAGATATGACAATGAAGTCGAAGAGGAAGAAAGCCACCAACATCCCATTCAACTGAAAAAAATTCTAAAGATATTTAACCCAATATTACATGGACAAGCAGTTGATGTATATCGCAGCTTAAAGTGGAAAAAAAAAACGAAGGTAAAAGAGAGACTTGAGCCAGGTAATTAAGAAGCCAAATGGGCTATCAAATCATATACCCAATGGATCTTGAGAATGTGGGCCCGAGCCCAGCCCATAAGAGCTGGACGGACTTGAGACGGTAAATTAATTAGTTAATTGGCAGAGACGGACTTGAAACAGAAATTTGGTAGCTTCTTCTTGTTCAGTTCCGCTTCGGACACC